TGCCACCGGTCCACTAGTTGGGACGTGGGATCCACGTGCTCCGTAAGGTCCGTATCAGACACTGCAGTTCTTCCTGCCCTCCAAGCCTCCGATATTTGAGGGAGGCCGAGGCGGGTGGATTACCTGAGGTCAGGAGTTTGAGACCAGCCCTGGTCAACATGGTGAAACCCCGTCTCCAACCAAAAATAGAAAAAATTAGCCTGGCGTGGTGGCAGTGTGCCTGTCATCCCAGCTGATTCGGGAGGCTGAGGGCAGGAGAACTGCTTGAACCCGGGAGGTGGAGGTGTGCAGTGAGCTGAGATCATACCCCTGCATTCCAGCCTGGCAACAAGAGTGAAATTCCATATCAGAAAATAAATAAATAAATAAATAAAAATTAAAATAAAAAAATTAGCTGGCTTGGGTGGCTGGCGCCTGTATCCCAGCTACTCGGGAGGCTGAGGCAGGAGAATCGCTGGAACCGGGAGGCAGAGGCTGCAGGGAGCCGAGATCACACCACTGCACTCCAGCCTGGGAGACAGAGCAAGACTCTGTCTCAAAAATTAAAAAAAAAAAAAAGAATAAATAAAAAAATACATCTGACTTATCTCTATGTTTGCATTAAAGTAAAATTCATAAAATTCACCATTAACCATTCTTGTTTTGTGTGTGTGTGTGTGTTTTTTTGTTCTGTTTTTTTTTTTTTTTTTTTTTTTGAGACAGAGTCTTGCTCTGTCGCCCAGGCTGGAGTGCAGTGCGCCATCTCGGCTCACTGCAAGCTCCGCCTCCCGGGGTTCAAGCCATTCTCCTGTCTTCAGCGTCCCGAGTAGCTGGGATTACAGGCATGCACCACGAAGCCCAGCTAATTTGTGTATTTTCAGTAGAGACGGGGGTTTCACCATATTGGCCAGGCTGGTCTCGAACTCCTGACCTCGTGATCTGCCCGCCTCAGCCTCCCAAAATGCTGAGATGACAGGTGTGAGGCACGGCGCCCGGCCCAATGTACCCACATATATTGATTGATGTCTCATGTCTGCCTAAAATGTCTAAAAGGAAGCTGCCCCCGGACCACCTTGGACACACATCCTCAGGACCTCCTGAGGCTTTGTTGCAGGTGCACGTCTCTCCCGGTGGGAAATAAACCTCCTGAAACGATGGAGAGTTGTCCTTTTTCTCGATCGACACCCCCTACAGTGGAACGTGAGTGTGATGAACGGAAGTCTACTCCCCTGCTTGTCCCACAGAGCGTATCCTACCTGGGACACCATGAAGCCGTTGGTGTACTCATTGAGGAGGCGATAGCCGTCGTCCCCTGAGGAACCCATGTCGTCTCCAATCCAGCCGCGGCGTCCGGAGCCTCTGGAGCGTTTGCTTCTAGGAGCACGGAGCCTGCTGGCAAGCTGGGAAAGAGGGACCCGCTCACGGCTGCTGTCTGAATCTTCCTGCTGGCTGCCCAGTACTCAAACAAAGACAGATCACTCTAGAAACTGGCATTAACCTTATTAGGGGATCACAAAGCGTGTCGGAATTCCCTGGCTTTCTGCGCGGGCCCTTCCGCAGCCCTAAAATAGTCTGCCTGAGGCCTCCCCTGAGACGTGGAGTCATCAGCTGTAGAACTGATCCCAGACCAATACGCTCACCCCTCATTGGCACTAAACGAATCGTCTCACGGATTGAACAGGTTCTGGATTCATTTCTGGGGGTCGCACGAATTTCCGCAAACTGGGTGGCTCAAAAAACAGTTCTCTCATACATCTAGACGCTGGAAGTTCAACATCAAGATGCCAGCAGGCCAGCCTGGGCAACATACTGAGACCCTTTGTTTTGTTGTTGTTGTTGTTGGGTGGTTGTTGGAGATCCGGATCTCGCCTGGTCACCAGGCCGTGGAGTGCACGCGGCAACAACTCAGCTCACTGCACCCCTCTGCCTCCCGGGTTCAAGGAGTCTCCTGCCTCAGCCTCCCAAGTACTACAACATCTACAGGCACCCCTGCCAACCATCGCCTTGCTTAAATTTTCCTGATATTCTTGCCTAGAGACGGTTCACACATGTGGGTCAGGCTGGTCGTCAAACTCCCTTGACCTCGTGATCCCCAGCCTCACCTCCCAAAGTGGGGATACACGGCGTGAGCCTCGCGCCGGGCTCCGATGTGATCGTTCTCAAGGAAGAATAAAAACTCAGCGCTTCCCAGGGTGCGTGGCTGTTCCCAGCAATTTGGGCAGATCCGCCCTGCGAGTCCAGGAGTTTGAGACCAAGCCTGGCAACACGGTGAGAACCCGTCCTACTAAAAATAAACAAACGAGCTGGCCTGGGTGGGCGCAAACTGTCATCCCAGCCCTTCTAGCGCAGACCCCGAGATGGAGATCACTTGAGGTAGAGTCAAGACCATTGGGCCAACATCGGTCAAACCCCAGGTCTACTAAAAAATACAAAAATTAGCGCGCGTGTGCGCGCCTTATAACCCAGCACTCGGGAGGCGAGGCACGAGAATCGGCGTGAACCCGAGGCGGAGCTGCCAGGAAACGGAGATCCGCCACCGCACCCAGCCTGGCAGCAGAGTGAGACGTCTCAAAAAGAAACGAAGAAGAAGAAAAGCAAAAGAGAATAGAAAAGAAGAGAAGAAGAAAAGGAAGGAAGGAAGGAAGGGAGAGAAAGAGAGATAGGAGAGAGAGAAGAAAGAAGAAAACAGAAAGAAAAAAAAGAAAGAAAGACGAAAGAAAGCAAGAAGAAGAGAAAGAAGAAAGACAGAAAGAAAGAAAGAAAGAAGACAAGAAAGAAAGAAAAAAGAAAGGAAAGAAAAGAAAGAAAGAAAGAAAGAAAGAAAGGAAGAAGAAAGGGAAGGAAGGAAGGAGCCGCAGGGGAGGGAGCAAGGTAGGGAGGAGGAAGGAGGAAGGAAGGAAGGAATGGGGGAGGGAAAGGAGAGAGAGAAAGAAAGAAGAGGAAGCGCGCGAGAGCAAGCACGAGAGGGCTGGGGACTCAGGGACACCCTGAAAACAGACCAGGGCGGCCCCGATCCACATTTGCTAATGGAACCCCAAGCCACGCTGAGCGCGGCCCAATCGCTGCCTGCGAGGATTCTCAGCACTCCTGAGCTTAAGAAAAACGGATTTACCTGAGGAACTGAGAAGGCAGGGACACGGTGACTAAAAGACAGGAGATACAAAGGACGAAGACAGTTGGTCTTGTTTGAGACACGACCCGCCGTCACCCAACGCGAGTGCAGTGAGCTGCGATCCTGGGCTCCACGCAATCCGCCTCCACCGGGTCACGCCATCCCTGCCCAGCCTCTGAGTAGCTGGGGAGTGAAGGCACCTGCCACCACCGCCCCGGCAAATTTTTGTATTCAAGAGATCTGGGGTTCACCAGTTACCAGGCTGCCGACTCCTGACTGGACCGCCCACCTCAGCCCAAAGTCCTGAGGAACAGGCCGTGAGCCACCCAGCGCCCCGGCGACAACACTTCTGAAAAACAAGACGCACTCGCGGCTGACAAACATATTGTATTAGTCCATTTTCATGCTGCTGACTCTACTGAAAATACAAAAATTAGCCGAGCGAGGTGGCAGGTGCCTGTTATCCCAGCTTGGGAGACAGAGCGAGACTCCATCTCAAAAAAAAAGATGAAGATGTTAGAAGGTGATTTGAGGGTGTGGACAGCAGGGGAGGGGAGGGAGAGCTGGATTCTGGGGTGAAGGTGGTTGTGGAATTCTTTGCAATCTGAGGCAGGAGGGACCGGGTGGGTGCTCCCAGGAGAGGCCATCCGTGCCAGACGGAGCGGCAGGTACCGAGGCCGTGGGGGAGCGGCAGTGCGTGCAGGCTGTTCAAACGAAAGCCGAGAACCCTGTGTGGCCGGAGCATCTGAAAAGACAGAGGAAGGGGAGGGGCCGGTGGATAGCAGACAGGCTGGTTTTAAAAACCCTCAGGGACATTGCATGGACCCCCGTCCGTCACCACCTTGAGACAGGGTCTGGCAGGACGGTTTCGGGTGAGGCCTGCGTGGTCTGGACACGGTCAGAAGCTGCCATTTGGGGATGGGATGTTTGGGAGATAGAGTTGGCCAGAAACCCCAGGAGCTTGTGTGCAACTCGGGCGAGTGGGACGGCCTGGAGGCCTGGCTGGAGTAGGGTCAGGGGTTTCCTGGAGTGTTAGCTGGAGTAGGGACAGGGGTGGCCTGGGGTCTTAGCTGGAGTAGGGACAGGGGTGGCCTGGGGTCTTAGCTGGTGTAGGGACAGGGGTGGCCTGGGGTCTTAGCTGGAGTAGGGACAGGGGTGGCCTGGGGTCTTAGCTGGAGTAGGGACAGGGGTGGCCTGGGGTCTTAGCTGGAGTAGGGACAGGGGTGGCCTGGAGGCCTGGCTGGAGTAGGGGACGGGGAGACCTGGAGGTTTGGCTGAAGTACGGGTGAGGAGAGAAGCCATTTCTCTTACCGTCTCCTGTCTCTGAAGAAGAGGAGGAAATAAAAGTTGAAAAACAACAGGAATGAAGTCAGCGGCAAGACCAGCCGGACGCCACTGATGACCAGGCCTGACGTTAAAAGATTAACCCCCCCTGACTCTAACCCCATGTGCTCTCCGTCTAGCACGACCCTTTCACGTGGAACCCCTTAGCGTTGTAAGCCCTTCAAAGGGCCGGGAACTCTGTCTTCGGGGAGCTCGGCTCTTAAGACGGAGTCTGCCGACGCTCCCGGCCGAATAAAGCCGAGACCTTTCTTAACCTGGTGTCTGAGGTGTTTTTGTCCATGGCTAGTCCTGCTACAGGGGCAGGGGCGGCCTGGGGGTTTGGCTGGAGTAGGGGACAGGGGCGGCCTGCAGGGTTGGCTGGAGCAGGGGCAGGGGCGGCCTGGAGGGTTGGCTGGAGTAGGGGACGGGGCAGCGTGGAGGTTTGGCTGGAGTAGAGGGCAGGGGCGGCCTGGAGGTTTGGCTGGAGTAGAGGGCAGGGGCGGCCTGGAGGGTTGGCTGGAGCAGGGGCAGGGGCGGCCTGGAGGGTTGGCTGGAGTAGAGGGCAGGGGCGGCCTGGAGGGTTGGCTGGAGTAGAGGGCAGGGGCGGCCTGGAGGGTTG